ACTACCTTAGTGAAAGTGAAAAATGGTACAATCACTTTGGAGACTGATCTGAAAGCTTCTCCTATGTTACATATATGCCAACCATATGATCCAGCATATCCACCTTTAAAACCAAGAGACACGAAAACAGAATTCTATCCAATTCATCCAAATTCTTTTTATCTAAAAATTTGTGTTTGGTTGGTTTATAAGGTGTGGTCTGGGTAGGCCTCTTGGATGGGATGGTATTTGAACAAAGTTCAAAAGAGACTGAGACACAAGATATGAGGATACCAGGGGGAAAATATCAGGACTAGTTAAAAGTAAAGGCCCTGAAAGGAGAATGTAAGTGGCCTTCCTGAGAAACAATAAGGAAGCCTCTCTGACCTGGGAAGAGTGAGAGAAGGTAAAAAATGGTAGGAGGTCAAAATGTCTTGGTTGAAGTACATAAAGAAAGTCCACCCTCATAACACTAGGATGTTCCCTGATAATACTAAGACGTTATTTGCCCTTTTTACTAGGTTGATATTTGCACAGTGTGTGCAAAAGCTATTAGGGGTAAAATCACATCTTATTATGAGTTAAAGTAGTGATACCAGACTGTACTAAATTAGCAGCATTTCACTGTCTACCACTAACTTTCACATTAAAAAAAAAAAAAAAGCCAATAATTATGTCCTAGATCAGTGACCAGCAAAACGCGGCTCGCGAGCCACATGCGGCTCTTTGGCCCTTGAGCGTGGCTCTTCCACAAAATACCACGTGCGGGCGCGAATGTACAGTGCAATTGAAACTTCGTGACCCATGCACAGAAGTCAGTTTTCGGCCTGGGCGAGTCTATTTTGAAGAAGTGGTGTTAGAAGAAGTGGGGGGTTTCGGTCTGTTGGGCGATGGGAGACGCGGCGCAGGGTAGGCGGGCTGCGGGATACGCAGCGCGGGGAGGTGCGTGCCCAATTCATGCATGAGTTGAGTGAGCCAGTCAGTCAGCAGTCTCATGTGCAGTGGTTAGTGCTAGTTGTGTCCACAAATCGCCCGCGGTTGACAAAAGTACCTACTCGAGGCATAAAGTTACCTGTATTTTTCCAATCAGCTGCAAATCCTACATGTATTTTTGTCATCAATTTAAGAATTGTAATTCTTTTGTGTTGGTGGCTTTATTATTATAAAATGAAACATTTTTTTAGGTGCCCTGTTTGAGATGGCTACAAAGAAGAAGCAAAGAAAAACGGTAGACGAAAACCGTGAATTTAACGTTGAATTTAAAGTTGAATGTACCTACCTATATAGTTTAAGTTTAAAATATTTGGCTCTCAAAAGAAATTTCAATTGTTGTACTGTTGATATTTGGCTCTGTTGACTGAGTTTGCCGACCACTGTCCAAATGAAGCACTAAAAATTTATTAATTTTTATTGATCTCAGTCCTTGATTACACTTTTTACAAATATTCTCTACACAAAATGGGAAGCATTTATAAGATAATTCTGATTAGTGAAGTATGACTGTCTTGAGAAAATACACTTGTGTGACTGAGTTGTGAGTTAACTAGCTACTTTTTTCTTTTTTTTTCTTCTTTTTTTTAAAATATATTTTATTGATTTTTTACAGAGAGGAAGGGAGAGAGATAGAGAGTTAGAAACATCGATGAGAGAGAAACATCGATCAGCTGCCTCCTGCACATCTCCTGGGGATGTGCCCGCAACCCAGGTACATGCCCTTGACCGGAATCGAACCCGGGACCTTTCAGTCCGCAGGCCAACGCTCTATCCACTGAGCCAAACCGGTTTCAGCAGCTACTTTTTTCTTGATACACCATAACTGTAGTTATTCAAACTTGGGTACTTAGCAGATATTTTCTTGAACATAAAATAAAGTAAATCTGTCACTTCAAGGGAAACAACTGACAATACTTATTGCCAATAATAAAATTCAAGCTTTAAAGCAAAAATTAGAATTTTGAATAGCTTGTATATGTCATTTTGGGCTTGACAGGTTCCCAATAATTAAAGCCTTTTCCGATGAAACCCACAGTAATATTAATGATGTAATTTTTGATACTGTATAATGAAATGAGTTATTTGGAAAATCTATATAACTCATTAAGCTAATATATTCCAAATGAGAAATGCATGATGTTATGAAATTATGCACTGACAAAAGATCTATTAAAATTGTTAGACCAATGATTATGATAAAGATGTTTTCAGGTTCCTCACTGCAGTTAACATTTAAGAAACTACTACTTATTGAGTTTTGGAGTAGTATCAAAGAATTATCTGAAAAAGGTATCATAAGCACAAACAACACCCCTCTATCCTCAACTACATCATCAAGTATGGGCGTGGACTTTCTTTATGTACTTCAATCAAAACAACATCCAATAACAAGCTGAATGCAGGAGTTAGAAGAATCCAGCTGTCTTCTATAATGCTGGACATTAAAGAGATTTGCAAAAATGTAAAACAATGCCATTTTTCTCCCTAATACTTTTTTTGTCTTGGAAAAGTTCTTTTGCATGCAAAAATGTGTTATTTACGTTAACATGTAATGCATTTGTTTCTGAAATAAATATTTTTAAAATGTTTTAATTTCTTATATAAATATCAACATGAAGAGTATCAGTGCTCTTCACTAATGATTTTCTTTTCTTTCTCTTCTAGTTGTCTTGACCTGTCTTTAAGAAGCTTTTTATGGGTTCTAAATTATTTTTTAAAAATGTAAGTAATTCTTGAGTCCAAAACACTGAGAACCCACTGTTCTTTAGGTTCCTTCCCTATAGTCCAGTTAGCACCTCACTTCCAGCAGGACCGCCTCTCCCTGAGGGAATCTAAATTCAGGCACACATTCTCCTGATCTTGGATCTCTAGCCTCTAAAACTGTAAGAAATAAATTTCTGTTGTGTATAAGCTACCCAGTCTGTAGTATTTTGTTATAGTAGCTCAAATGAACTGAGACATTTACCTGCTAGGAAAGAAATCTAAAGGCCATTTTTCTGGGAATAATATACTTATTGGGGCAGGGGATACTGAAAACAAGATGGAAATCCTCCTGGGTTATCTGGGATACTTTGTGCAAGTATAGTCAAGGCATAAAATGAAATTATAGCTCCTTACTAGTCAGTAAAGGTCCTTTTCTACACTCCCTGCTTCTAAATCAGGGGTGGGCAAACTTTTTGACTCGAGGGCCACAATGGGTTCTTAAACTGGACTGGAGGGCCGGAACAAAAGCATGGATGGAGTGTTTGTGTGAACTAATATAAATTCAAAGTAAACATCATTACATAAAAGGGTACGGTCTTTTTTTTTTAGTTTTATTCATTTCAAATGGGCCGGATCTGGCCCGCGGGCCGTAGTTTGCCCACGGCTGTTTAAATCCATACCATCACTGGCATTACCTTCCCCTACCTCCTTAACATCTTCCTTCCTCTGATAAGCAATAATAAAAAAAGAAATAAGTACACAGAAAAGCAAGCAGAGAAAACAAAGTAGCTTTCTCCAATTCCTCCCGGTGGGACATACTTTTTTTTATCTTTGGAGAGGAGTATCTAACCTTCTAAAAGATCCAGAGACAATCAGCCAAATGAACAAGGGAATGTAACATGTTAAAAACAAAGAATTATAAGGTACAAAAAGGAAAAACATAAATATGCCTGAAGATAATAAGCAGTATCTTTAGTTCTTTCAAAGTTTAAGTAAAACCATCTTAGTACCGAGCTTATTAAGGTAAGATAAGCATCAAGAAGAAATGATAAGTAGCTTCCAGAAAAATTTACATAAATTAATGGATAATGTGGATCCATCACTCCTTCATTCAAAATTATTTATCAATCACCAAACAAGCTAACAGTGGAAGAACAATGGTCTACTAGTGTGTTATCTCAGCTTTAGCAATGACTAGCTGGGTGACACTGAGAAAGTTATTTTCTCTTAAGCTTCAGTTTCCTCAACTATAAAATGGATAAAATATAATAGCCAGCTCTCAAGTTTGCTATAAGGATTAAATAATTAAAAGATGTGTATGGCTCAATGGTTACAGCACCACTGAGCGAATACTGAAGGGTCTCAGGCTTGATTCCCGATCAAGGGCATGTACTTGGGTTGCAGGTTCAATACCCAGCCCAGGGTCTCTCTCACATCGGGGTTTTTATCTTTCTCTCTCTCACCCTCCCTCCCTCCCTCCCTTTCTAAAAATCAATGGGAAAAATAGCCTCCGGTGAGGATTAAAAAAACCCCCCACAAATCCACAAAAATACAAAACAAAACAGAAAAAAGAGATGTAAGTGCTGTTCCTAGCACACATTACAGACTCAATGAATGTTAGCTAAGATAATTGGTATTAATAGCAAAATATTTTTTAAAAGCCCAGACAGTGTGGTTCAGTGGTTGAGCATTGATCTATGAACCAGGAGGTCACAGTTCAATTCCTGGTCAGGACTCATACCCGAGTTGCAGGCTCATCAAACTTCAGTAAGGGGTGTGCAGGAGGCAGGTGATTCATGATTCTCTCTCATCATTGATGTTTCTATCTTTCTCTCTCCCTTCCTCTCTCTGAAATACATAAAAACGTATTTTCTTAAAAAAGAGAAAAGAAACAAAAATGTCTTGACCTATGTTTCAGAAGCTCATTCTAATGAAAAATTCTGTTAAAATGAAATAAAACTAGAGAGCCCAGGAGTACACACCTAATCTTTGGAACTTAATATGTAGCAAGTACATTACGGAATCTCATAAAAGGTCCCCAGTTACTACCAGAGATATGGGCTAGAATCCTTCATGCAATGCAAAAAAAAAAAAAAAAAGGATAATATTATAAGTGATAGCCAAGGGTCAGTCAAAATGTATAAAAATTCAAGTAGACCCCTTATAGGTTTAACAATTTTAGAAAAGTACTTGTAAGGCTATTTCAAGAAACTGAATTGATGCTATTTCATGGGCTTTGTGTCACTGGAATGATGAGTTACATTTATAGAGATTTCACTCTGATTGCACAAAGTGCCATTAATGTAATTTCTAATAAAACTTACTCTTTCTCTTTAAGCTCTGGTAAATCCAAGTACCAATGCTCTTCACTAATGATTTTCTTTTCTTCCTCTTCTAGTTGTTTCTTAGTTTCTGAGTCCAGTCCCCTTTGCATGAACTGTCAAATCAAAACAAAATCAGTGCCAGCAACTAATGTTCCCAATTTAGAGTTAAAAAAACCTCAAATAACTTTATTCTTTCATTTGCTCTTCCCCATTTCTCCAGAAATCCCACCTCATGATTGAGGACTCCATAAAGCCTGCTCTTCACTTGGATCTATCCTTTGAAATGCTGATCAATTATATGGCTGCTCTTTATTTTACAACTAGAGGCCCAGTGCATGGATTCATGCACCGGTGGGGTCCCTTGGTATGGCCTGTGGGGATCAAGCTGAAACTGGCAGTCCAACGCTGCTAGTTGCTCCTGCTCATCCTGGACCCACTGTGTCTGCCACCGCTGCCACTTGGTAGGCTCACTGCCGCTCCACTGCAGTCTCCAGGCTGCGGTGGCCAGCCGTGAGACCTGCGAATAGCACCCCTTGGTCAGCTGACGGCGCTCCTGCTGTGGGAGCGCACTGACCACCAGGGAGCAGCTCCTGCCTTGAGCGTCTGCCACTTGGTGGTCAGTGCGCACCATAGCGACCAGTCGACCAGTTGCTTAGGCTTTTATATATATAGATAGAAGATAGATCTGTATAAGCTCAACTCAAAATAGGCCAGTAGAGCCGAAACCGGTTTGGCTCAGTGGATAGAGCGTCGGCCTGCGGATTGAAAGGTCCCAGGTTCGATTCCGGTCAAGGGCATGTACCTGGGTTGCGGGCACATCCCCAGTAGGAGATGTGCAGGAGGCAGCTGATCAATGTTTCTCTCTCATTGATGTTTCTAACTCTCTATCTCTCTCCCTTCCTCTCTGTAAAAAATCAATAAAAAATATATTAAAAAAAAAAAAAAATAGGCCAGTAGAGAAAACAGCAGTCCTGCTCTAGTCTCTCCCTAGCACAAACAATAGCGCTATTTCCAGGGGATAGGCAAACCAAGAAGTTAATCACTGCAAAATGATGAAATATTAATAACAGGAAAAATAAATTTAGAAATCATCCAGCAGTTAGGTCTAGGATTACACTGGTTTCCATTTACCCCTATTTCTTTCCTTTATCCAGGCTCTATTTCCTTCCTTTATCCTATATTGTGCTTCCCTCAACTCCAGCTCTTTCAAAATCATAAACATTTTTAGGCATAAGGGCTTTACCAATGACTACTAAATGAAATGACTTGAAAAACATTCACAAATAAATATAAGGATAACAGCAAATTCTGATGAGGATATGAGGAAATTACCTCCTCTGTGAAAAATAGCTACATAGTTCCTTATCCAACTAAACATGAATTTACCATATTACCCAGCAATTGTCTTCTTGGACATTTATCCCAGAGAAATGAAAACTTAGTTTACTCAAAAAACTTACACATAAATAATCACAGCAGCTCTATTTGTACTAGCCAAGAACTGTAACAATCAAAATACTCTTCAATAGGTGAATGGCTAAAATGAACCATAGAACATCCACAGCATGGAATTCTACTTAGCAATAAAAAGGAAGGAACTATTCATAACACTAAACAACTTAACTGGGTCTCAAGTGAATTATGCTGAGTGAAAAAGGCCAATCTCAAATATTATGATTCCATTTATATAACATCCTTGAAATAACAAAATTATAATAATGAATAATAGATTAATGATGGCCAGGGATTAGGGATGACACAAAGGTGATGATGGAAAAGCTTTGTATTTTGAATGTGATGGCAGTTAGATAAATCTACATACAATAAATTGTATGGAAAGTTCACACACACACACACACAATCAAGTGCAAGTAAAATGGTGAAATCTGGGTAAACTGTGTGGATTGTAACACCATCAATGTCCTGGTTTTGCACTGTTCATTCATCTGTCCTCATCCTTTTACTTGTGCTTATACCCTCATTCCAAGAAAGAACCGGCAGTTTCAGGAAAGCAAACCCTGTACTTCCCAGTTCTTCTGCCTTTGCTATTCAACGTTATGCTTCTATCTTCTGCCTGGCAAAATACTTACTCGTGAAGGTTCAGAGCACGTGTCCTTTGATAAACATTTCTTGCTTCTAATACAGCTTTATAAACACTGGCTTATTGTTCATTAGAGGCCCGGTGTGGTCCCTGGGCCTGGCCTGCACCCTCTCGCAATCTGGGACCCTTTGGGGGATGTTGGACTGCTGGCTTTGGCCCGATCCCCATAGGCCAGGCCGAGGGACCCCACTGGTGCACAAATCCATGCACCGGGCCTCTCGTATGCATATAAGATCTTGGTTAATCTCTTCCTGCCCTGCCCCTCCCTTCCCTCGGAGATTCATCAGTCTGTTTCATGTTTCCATGCTTGTGTGTTGAGCATCTGCCCCCTGGTGGTCAATGGGCATCATAGCTACCAGTCAAATGGTTGCTTAGACTTTTATATACAGTGGGGCCTTCACTTACGAGTGTCCTGACTAACGAGTTTTTCGAGATACAAGCCGTCTCTCGGCCGATTTTTTGCTTTGAGTTGCAAGCTAAAATTCGGGTTACGAGCCAGCTTCAGATACCCCACTGCTAGTTGGCGCAGCGAACGTCACAGTGAACGCCACAACATCAGCCCAGCATCACGTGTCTCACTCGTTCACTTTTTGATTTGACATATGAGTAATTTTTGAGTTATGAGCTCCGTCACGGAACGAATTAAACTCGTAAGTCAAGGCCCCACTGTATATAGATAGATGTCTCCCAAAAGACTAAGATTGTGAATGCAGACCACATCTTGTTCATTTTGCATTATTGGTAAGTAGGCTGCAACTGGTACACAGAAAAGAGTTCAATAAAGGTTTTCTGAATGAATCTGATTCTAGACTTGTCTAATTTTTCCAGATTTCCTTTCTTGGCTGGTTCTCTTTAAACATAGATGCCTTATCTCATTACTCATATTCTTCATGGTAAAACTCACAAATCCGGTCCAACTGCCCTTTTACCTCCTATTTTTAAGTAGATATTCTTTATGGTATAGAAATAGCCATATTCATATGTCCCAAAATACACACACACACACACACACACACACACATTTTTCTATACATATGGAAAGGATAAAAAACCCTGTGACTATGAATGAAGCAACTCCAGACTTAGGCAGCAGTTCAATTCTTCTTTCTCCACAGCCCCTAAGAACATACTCTAAAGCTACTGATTTAGTTTTACTCACAACAAGGACTTGGAACAGATATCACAAAATATAGTCCTTAGGCTAAACTTCTGTTTTTGTAAAGTTTTACTGGAGCAAAGCCATACTCATTTGGTTCTGAGGTATAAGGCCAAGTTGGTTAGACAGACTGGCCCACAAATTTCAAGTATTTACCTATTCCTTTACAGAAAAAGTTCACTAACTCCTGTCTTGAGTCCAAAAGAGTTATCACAAATAAGTACCTTCTCTATATTTCCATCATACTCACAGACCTTCCACCTACATCCTTTACTTTCTACTTCCCATTAGGATCGACCTCCAGCCCCCAATAGATGACCCAAGTCAGACTTCAAGTACACTGGAAAATAAATGAGTCTATATTAAATCCTCTACCCTGTCATTCTTGCTCTATATTTAGCTCTTGATGAACAGCTACACTGAATACAATAACCTCAGGCAGCTGCTTCAGTCCTTCTCATAAGACATTCCACTCTAACTGTATATATAGTGTCTTCTGCTATCCTGCCAGTGAGTTCTTTCTTAACAATGACAGAAGTTGTGAACCCAAATAGAGAACCTCTTCTTTGCTTCCAATGTCTAGTTGAGTCTCTCTCAACCACTCAGGTAAGGGGTAAATGATTTTTTAGAGTTAATTTCTTCATTCCTAACTTCCAAGTCAGATCTTTGGTCTGGTCCTTAATTACCCAGCACATCTTCATTTGACTTATTCCGAGAGTTAAACAACTTCTAAAATCTTTTCAGTGCTTGCTTTGTCAATCCACTCCACTTCCTTGAAATCTACATGATTTCAAATCATAAACCAAGAGAAAACTCTGTTCAGTAAAGATTCAAATTTTGCTAATATGCATGGAAGAAATGCTTTAGAAACTATAAATTATGCTGACTTACCCTTCACTTTCAATCACCCTATTCATCCCTAGTTACACCCTAGCTCAACTCAATTCACATTTTGCACATGCAATATTTACTCTTCAATCTTTCAGAACGTTATTCACGCCTTGCTTCCTCTTCCTGAAAATTGCGCACCCCTCTAAACATAACATTTAACAGTTTACATCTGTAAGTGTCCAGCAACCAGTAGTAATTGATAGCAAATGGGGTCTAGGGACAGAATTCTGAGTTTGAGTCTTGTCTACACTGTTTATTAGCAGTAAGTACCTCTGGGCAAGTTACTTACTTCTCCATTTCAGTTGTCTCCACTGTTAGAGAGGGATACTAACCCACCTCAAGGGATTATGTGGAATTACTGGGTTCCTATATACAAAGCACTTAGAACACAGCAAGAACTAAAATGTTTGCTATTATTTAAGTTTTAAGGATTGGTTGTTTCCCGTTTTAATTCCTGTATTCATTTTAACTACCCTTGTTTTTGTCCATTTTGATCTTATTTGGTTAAATCTGAAATATAAAAGTAAATTTTGCTTGACATAACTCACTTTCACCTCAACTGTTATAATTCCATAGCACCACCACTGCAACACTCGCCCAGATGACCAGAACTTCTGGGTGGTCTTTCTGACTGCAATTTTGGTCCCCGTTGGGCCTTTCTTTCACTAAATATTACCCACAGGACAGAGTAAGAGGCACAGCTAATGATACTGTTCCCCGAACTCAACAGCTTCCCAATGCTCACAAGATAAATAAATATCCTTAACCTGGTCTAACATTCCCTGCTGTGACCTGACTACTTTTTCAGGCCCATTTCTTGCTACTTGCCTTCCAGACATACAGAATTATCTTCAGTTCTTCACACTCAGCATAGAATTTTTGGGTTTTGCCTCTCAGCCTTCTGAACGCTCTCTTGCCTCAGTTTGTGTTGCTATGCCCCTACCCTCCCACCTACCCTTCAGTCTCTACTAAAGCACCGCTTCCCGCAGAAGCCCGAAGTTCCTGGCCGGCGCTCCGGGCATCACTGCTCTCACTACGCTGTGTCCACTTTTACGTCTCTGTCTCTCCTATTTGACAGCTGGCTTTAGGAGAGGGCCAGCCGGATTTCTAATCCAGTCCCCAGGGCCTAACACACAGCAGGCGCTAAGTGAATGAATGAACGCGACAGCTGGAGGCCCTCTGGGGCCCCTGTACGCCCTTGGTCCCGGCCTCGGCCAGGCCAGGAGGCCCCGGTGGCCCTGCCCTCCATCCTGGCTCCCCCCGCGCCCCGTACCTTCATGCGCAGCAAATTCTTGGACAACTTAGTTTTACGCTCAGACGCCATGCTGGCTCCCGCCGGGGTCCGGATCTCCGCTACGCAGCCCACCGCGCATGCGCACTGCGACGCACACAGCGGCGGCGTCTTACGTAGCGTGCGCCGCCCCGCCCCGTGGCCCCGCCCCTGTTTCTCGCGCCAGAACTCTCCCGGGCTCTTCGCGTCCGCCTCGGGGGAGAGCTTACCTGTGGAGGAAACTCAGGGTAAGGGCGCGACCGCCCACGCAGGGTCGAGTCTCTCAACAACGGGAGGGAGACCCAAAGAGGCCGAAGCCGGAGGAGGCCCGAGCTCTGGTCCCCCGGGGGCTTCGGCCGGCCCCTCAGACCCCGCGCCCGGCCGAGCCGCAGGTCTGGCGGTGGCGAGTGCCGCCCCGCCTCGCAGGCCCGGTCCTGCCGCGCATCGCTGACTCAGTTGTCCTGGTGAGACCTTTGAGACTGTTGCCAAACCATCCCGCACGGATCGTTTCTTTCACATGTTTCTAACGTGGATGGCGGGCTTCCTATGTCCTGCATCGCTTTACGCGTAGTAGTTCATTTTATATTCACGACACCCTGTGGAGGTGGTACTGTCCTTGTCCCCGCGTTGCATTTGAGTAAGTTGAGGAATAGAGAGGTTCCTTAACTGGACCGAAGTCAGACTGAGGGAGGTGGGTGTAAACCCGGGCAGCCTGGCTTCAGAAATGCAATAGAAAACAGTGTTAAATTCACGTATTAACTGTTGTGTGTCCTTGAACCTAAATGCTATTTCCGTTAAAAAGAAAAGCAGGAGATAGTAAAGACATATGAGGAAAGAAGGCCTTATTTTAATCCAAAGAATTGAAACGATAATAGCTTCAACGGTCTGTACCCCCTAAAGACCGTGTGCGATAGGCCAAAGTCTTGTGCTGCGTAGCATACGTGCCTTATGTTATTTAATCTTCAGAAGAACTCTGAAGAAGGAATTGTTGGCATACAGTTGGGGAACTTGAGGCCCACAGAGGTTAAGTGACTTGCCAGAGATCTCCCGGTTAGTAAGTGTTAGAGCTCAGATTCAGAAAGCTTCATAAAAATGTGACCCCTCCTGGGCAGGTTGTCTCAGTGGATTAAATAAAGTTATTATACTGTGGTAAGTGGTTATAAAATTCATTGGCCCATGAGTTTATTAGTCCAGCGTCACAAGACACTGGGCTGATATCTGGGCTACAATAGTTTGAGAAAAACACATAATCTCCTTTTCCTGGAACTGGCATTCTGGTGTGTGCCATGGAAGAAAAAAAAGTGAGGTGATAGAGGGACTTTTAGGGTTAATTTAAATAAGGTGGTCTGGGATGGTTTTTGCCAGATGATAGTGCTCAGGCTTGAAAGTTGAGTAAAACCTGTTGTATGAAAAATTGGAAGTAGAATATTCTAGGAAGAGGGAATAGCAACTCTAAAGACCCTGAAATGAGAACAAGAGTTGTCAGTTTATCAAGTGGGAACAACAGAGGTAAGAGGGTTAAAATGTGTTCCTCCAAAGTTCATTAGAATTCCGTCTCAGAATATGACTGTATTTGGAAATAGGGCCTTTAAAGTGGTGATAAGTTAAAATGAGACCTTTATGGTAGGTCCTGATTCAATCTGACTGGTGTCTTTATATGAAGAGGAAATTTGGACACACAGGGTGACACCAGGAATGCACATGCGTGGAGGAATGGCCATGTGAGGACACAGGAAGAAGGCAGCCTTCTGAAAGCCAAGGAGAGGCCTCAGGAGAAACTAAACCTGCCTATACTTTGATCTTGAACTTCCAGCCTCCAGAATTGTGAAAAAAATAAAGTTTTGTTGTTTAAGCTACCCAGTCTGTACCGTTTTGTTATGGAAGCCCTAGAAAACTAATATACCACATAATTTGCTGTAGATTGTAATTGGAATGAAAGCCCTATCAGAAAAGTATGGAGTTCATAAGAGGGTATAGCAAATGTACCTAAACCCTTTTGGCCTGGAAAAGGGAAGGACATCTAAGTTATGACCTGAAAGGGAAGGAGTTAGGCTGGGAAAGGCCTTTTAATCATTTAGTTCTGTGCTACCATCACTCCATGCATCCACGGAACTCTTCATCTTGTAAAATGGAAACTACACCAATTAAACAATAATTCTCCATCCCCTCCTCCGCTACAGCCACTACTCTAGTTTCTCTATGTTTTGACTTCTGTTTAGGATTTGGAAAGAAGTTCAGTGGGATCAGAGGTGAAGTGACTCAGTCTGACAACTGCTTCCAGGAAACAGCTGACTTTGAACTAGATTTTGAAGGATAAGCTCTTGTCTTGTCAATGTAAGAGGAAAATAATTCCTGACAGAAATAAGAGTATGTATCAGCTAAGGGATGCTAGAAGCTCCACATTTTCTCTACAGACCTCTGTTGTTACCAGTCTACTTACACAATGGATTCTGATTTGCTTTCTGGAAGCATAGACTTCATTATGTACTCTTCTACTCCAAAATGTACAATAACTTATTATCTGAGGTATGAAGGTCAAATTCTTCAACCTGCCACTCAAAATTCTACATTTTTATTTGACAGTGGAACTATTTATAATTAAAGCTAATCTTCAAAATCTCTTCCCACCCATCTAAATATAATAAATGAGAAGTTATTTTTAACTGTAAATTAAACTCCCTGACAGGGAAGATAACTCTGATCTCTATATCACTAAATTTTAGGATACAGAGGATAGATCTCAAACTCAATAATGTGTTAATCTGTTTTAGTTACACAGGCAAGGAAACATTATTTTTGGGGAGAGATATTTCTATAGGTCTTCATATAATTCTGAATCTTTTCATAATGAAATTTGTTAGAAGTGTGAAAACCTCTAATTCCTTCCAAATACTAGATCTATCAAGAAAAGGGCTCCCGAGTCTCTTCACTCTTACTAGTATAGCCAATTATACGGGGTAGAGCAAAAGTAGATTTATAATTGTGAGTTGCAAAAGTTTACTCTTGTATTATTATTAGTTAATTATATTTTCCCCACCATATGCACCTGATTGCAGTAGTCATATGTTGCTACCAAGCACTTGAAATGTGGCCAACGTAACTGAGGAACTGAATGTTTAATTTTAGTTAAATTTAAAACCTTAGCAATGTAAAGTATTTTCCTCTTGTATACATTTTATTATTTTGGAAGGACTACATTTTACTTAAAACTGAAAATTTAGCATTTGAGTTGAGAAGGGCTATAAGTGTAAAATACATATCACATTTCAAAGATTTGGAACAAAAATAAAATTTAAAAATATATATTTTTAAAATATATTTTTATTGATTTCAGAGAGGAAGGGAGGAAGGGAGTGAGGGAGGGGGGGAGAGAGAGAGAGAAACATTAATGATGAGAGAGAATCATTGATTGGCTGCCTCCTGCACACCCCCTATTAGGGATTCGGCCCACAACCCAGGGCATGTGCCCTTGATCGGAGTCAAACGCTGGACCCTTCAGTCCCTAGGCTGACACAGTATCCACTGAGCCAAAATGGCTAGGGTGAAGTAAAATATCTTAATTTTTTTATATTGAGTACATGTTATAGTTTGTGTGTATTGGCTTAAATAAAACCTAGAATTAAAATTAATTCCACCAGCGTGGCCAGCATGGCTCAGTGGTTGAGCATTGACCTATGGAACTGGAGGTCACGGTTTCATTCCTGGTCTGGATATGGCCTGGTTGCAGGCTCTATCTCCAGTGTGAGGTGTGTAGGAGGCAGCCAGTCAATGATTCTCTTTCATCATTGATGTTTTATTTCTCTCTCCCTTCCTCCCTGAAATCAATAAAAATATATTTAAGAAATTAATTCTATCAGTTTGTTTTTTTAATGAGGCTGCTAGAAAATTTAAAATTACATATCTGTCTTCCATTTCCCTCCCTTCGTCCCTCCTTCCGCTACCATTTGTATAACTTTCTGTTATTTTGTTTGTCAAATACCAGAAATTGATAAAGAGTTATTAAACATAAAGGAGATTTGTTAGAAGGATGCTGGGTAGTTTATGGAAATAATGCTGGTCTGAGAATAAAGCCAAGCTAACAGGACAGAAACTAGAGTAGCCCAAGAATCTAGGAAGCAGGAATTTAGTGCCACTGCAAGAATGAAGAACACCAACTGATTTCTCTGTTTTTGGGACATTCTACTGAAGTTTTCAAAATCTAGAAGAGAGTCTCATAGAGCGTTAGTTAAGAGAGGACAAGTTCTGATTTATAGTCTCTGTAGGAGTATACAAAATAAAAGAAGGTAATTTTTAAAAGAGAAATTGGCTATAAGAGGTAATCCTTATAGCTAAAACAGCAATGCCAAGGACAAATATCTAAGGCAGGAAAGTAGAACATTATGTTGACATAGCCCTGAAGGACAAATGGTAGAATGTCAGTTGAAAAACTCATATCCAACATCCAGTCTACCCTTTCTCATAAAAATGTTCTCCCTCCTCTTGATCCCTATTTCATTTATATTTTTAAAAAAATATTTTTATTGATTTAAAAGAGAGAAATAGAAACATCAGTGATGAGAGGGAATCATTGATTAGCTGCCTCCTGCATGCCCCACACTGGGGATTGAACCCACAACCTGGGCATGAGCCCTGACTAGCTCAACCACTGAGCCATGCTGGTCAGGCTCCCCTATTTTCTTTTCTTTTCTTTTTTTTTAAAATATATTTTATTGAGTTTTTACAGAGAGGAAGGGAGAGGAATAGAGAGTTAGAAACATCGATGAGAGAGAAACATCGATCAGCTGCCTCCTGCACATCTCCTACTGGGGATGTGCCCGCAACCCAGGTACATGCCCTTGCCCGGAATCGAACCTGGGACCTTTCAGTCCGCAGGCCGACGCTCTATCCACTGAGCCAAACCGGTTTCGGCCCCTATTTTCATTTAATAAACAAATATTTATTGGTTGCCTGTTATGTGTAAATTGGGACTCTAGGTCAATTAGCTTAAAAATCTAGTGTAATACATCCCTTCTGCTCGTACCTTTAGTTACTCATCAACTATTTGTTTGTAGTTA